TCACATCACATCATATCATATCATATCATATCACATCACATCATATCATATCATATCATATCATATCATATCACATCACATCACATCACATCATATCATATCATATCACATCATATCATATCATGTCATATCACATCACATCATATCACATCATATCATATCATATCATGTCATATCACATCATATCACATCATATCATATCATATCATGTCATATCACATCATATCATATCATATCACATCATATCATATCATGTCATATCACATCATATCATATCATATCATATCACATCACATCATATCATATCATATCACATCATATATCATATCACATCACATCATATCATATCATATCATATCATATCATGTCATATCACATCATATCATATCATATTATGTCATATATCATATCATATCACATCATATCATATCATGTCATATCATATCATGTCACATCATATCATATCATAATCTCTTAGAAGCCTGTTTGTTTTCTTTTTCTTTCCTTTCTGCTTTGGTTTTTCGAGTCAGGGTTTCTCTGTGTAGCGCTGGCTGGCCTGGAACTCCCAGAGATCCACCTGCCTCTGCCTCCTGAGTGCAGGAATGAAATGTGTGCGCCACCACCACCCTGTTTGTTTTCTAAAGAGAGACAGACAGCGGGTGGAACTGGATGAGAGGGGAAGTGGGGAGGAACTGGGAGGAGTAGAGGGAGGGGAAAACATGATCAGGATGTATTGTGTGAAAAGAAAATCTTATTTTCAATAAATGGAAGAAAAAAAAAAACGCACCCACTACTCAAAAGCCCGAAGAGGTCAAATACCTGGTCCTCTCTACTCTCCCTTTGCATTAAAGGGGAGATTTGGGCCTTTTTGGTCAGACAATAGTTAGATGCCTTGGGCTGGAGAGATGGCTCAGAGGTTAAGAACACTGGCTGCTCTTTCAGAGGTCCTGAGTTCAATTCCCGGTACCCACATGGTGGCTCACAATCATTCATACTGGGATCTGATGCCCTCTTCTGGAGTGCAGGTGCACATGCAGGTAGAGCACTCATAAAATGCATAAATACATCTTAAGAAAATATTTAGACACCTGTTGCTACTGTTTCACGATAGACCAGATAATAGTTTACAAAGTTCCTGGTGTTTATTCTTGGACAGGCCTAGGCTGTCTTTTGAGGAGTCCTCAGGCCCCTCCCTGGGAAAAGCCTGAGAGGGTCTTACAAGATTCTAGAAATCCGCCCCCCAAATTGGGAGCCTGGGGTGAACCTTCACAGATGTATCTCTGTGATCTGATGCCTGATCTCCACCCTGCCCTTCTTTAAATAGTTTTCTTTTGACAATTTTTTATTTTTTTGTAATTACTGTGTGTGTGCACAATGCATGTACATCGGTGTACATGCCAGGTCAAGTGTCAGAGGACAACTGTGTGGAGTCGGTTCTCTCCTTCCAGCTTCATCGGCTCCTGGGATCCAGCCATGGTTTGCAGGTCCAGTGCCTTCACCAGCCCACTCATCCTGTCAGCCTCCTGATCCTTTACAATGTGATTTAGTCTCTGGATCTTTCCCTCCAATAAGATGTAGAAGTTGAACAAAGGAAGAGAGTGGGTTTTGCTTGCTTGTTTGTTTGTTTGTTTGTTTAAGTAAGGGGTGGTTGGCTGTCCTCTGGGCTGTACTGTGGTGGGATTTGTTTTGTTTTGTTTAAGACAGGGTTTCTCTGTGTAGTTTTGCGCCTTTCCTGGAACTCATTCTGCAGCCCAGGCTGGCCTTGAACTCACAGAGATCCGCCTGGCTCTGCCTCCCTAGTGCTGGAACTAAAGGCGTGTGCCACCACCTCCCAGCTTCCATGGGATTTTTTTTTTTTTTTTTTTGGTTTTTCGAGACAGGGTTTCTCTGTGTAGCTTTGCGCCTTTTCCTGGAACTCACTTGGTAGCCCAAGCTGGCCTCGAACTCACAGAGATCCGCCTGGCTCTGCCTCCCGAGTGCTGGGATTAAAGGCGTGCGCCACCACCGCCCGGCCCGTGGGATGTTTTAAGGCAGGCACACACTGCCAAATGATGCCATCTTTGTGGTTCTGGGGCTCCAACCCACAGTTCTGTTTTGTTATGGACTAGATCCATAAAAAACTTAAGAAATTGTTTCTCTGCCAACACTGGAGAATGCCATGTTTTTATAAAACACTTTGGCAGATGGATATATTTTCTCACTCTTTTAAAAATATCTACTTTATTTTTGTGTATGTGTGATGTGCACATGTGTGTAGGTGCCCACTGAGGCCAGCAGAGGGTGTTGGATTCCCTGGAGCCAGAGTTACAGGCAGTTCTGAGCCACCCAACAGGTGTACTGGGAGACAAACCCTGTCCTCTGCAAGAGCAGCAGGTGTTCTTAACCAGTGACCCATCTCTCTGGACCTTTCTCTCTCTCTCTCTCTCTCTCTCTCTCTCTCTCTCTCTCTCTCTCTCTCCCTCTTTCTCCCTCCCTCCCTCCCTCCCTCCCTCCCTCCCTCCCTCCCTCCCTCCTTCCTTCCTTCCTTTTCTTCTTTTGAGACAAGGCCTCACTGTGTAACCCTGGATGGCTTGAAACTCTGTAAACCAGGCTGCCCTTAAATTCACAGAGATCCACCTGCTGCTGCCTCCCAAATACTGGGATTAAAGACCTGGCCTTCAGTCTTTTTTTTAAAAAGAGATAATATTTACCGGGTTTGAATCTCCAGCTTGGATCTCAATGAAGATGCTGTTTCTGCTGTTGATAGGATTAAAGATTTAACCCTAAGTTAGAAAATAAAAGATTGTTAAGTGCTTTGCAGGCTGCTGGAGGAGAAAAGTCATCGGTGCTCTTACCCAGAAGTGAATCCTGCATGCTACTAAAACTAACTTGCTAGGCAGGGCATGCCCATTGGTGCAATGGCGGCATTATGGGGTAACCAAATTCTTTCTGATTGCAGTTGAAGCCCACTTCACAGAAGGAATTTTTTTAAGTGTATGAGAGAGTTTTGCCTGCATGTATTTATGTGCACCATACACATGAAGTGCCTGCAGAGGTCAGAAGAGGGAGTCAGATCCTCTGGAACCAGAGTTAAAAACTAGCACCACTATATGAGTGCTGGGACCAACCTGGGTCCTCGAGGGCAGAAAGTGCTCTCAACCACTGGACAATTTTTCCAGCCCCAGGAGGCATTTCTTGTCTGACTGTAAACCTAGCTGAAAGCCCATGGCCCTGGAGTTCATAGGCTCTAGGTGGAGGGAACCTACTACTGTTGTTTGGATATGTTTCAAACTGCTTTCTAAATACTTAAGATAATAGCCACAGATCCATGCTGTTCTCAGTTTGGTAAGCTTCTTCTGCAGTGGACAACAGTTAACGCGGAGTCTTATAAACAGTCAAAGTTCTGAAAATAAATCACCGTTGACTGCTTAGCTCTAGGTGGGACTCAGAGAACATCTGAAAGAAGGGCCAGAAAGAACGGAAGGGCTGGAGGATGGGAGCAGAGCCGTTGGCTCACAGCAGCTGTGGGCACCTGCATAAAATCAAGCCGACAAGCAGCCAGCAGCGCTGGACTCGGCGTGTTTCAGGGAAATAGAAGAGAACGTGAAAGTGGAAGGGAGAGATGGGGTGCCTAGGGGAGAAGGAGGGGGATGTATTCATGTATTACATTCCCCCAAAATAAATTAAAATGCTCTTTAAAAATGTTGATGTTTGAAAAATAAATTCTATCTAGGAAAAGTAAGGAAGAAAAATACATAAAAGGTACCTAAGAATTAAAAGTATAGCTTAATGGTAGGCCACTTACCTAGCAAGCATGAGACCCCAGGTTTGATACCATAGAAAGGAAATTAAAACTATGTCTGTAAATGTCTTGACTTCATACACAGAAAACCCTAAGGAATCCACGGAAGATTAATTGTTATGGAAAAGCAACTGAAAGGCCTGATGATATTTCACTCACAGCTGTTGGGACACCTATGATAAGCACACACGGACAAAATCAGAAAACCTAAGTGTTGGCAAGAATGTCAAGAAATCTGGGTGGTGGTGGCAGCGCCGGTGGCACACACCTTTAATCCCAGCACTCGGGAGGCAGAGGCAGGAGGATCTCTGTGAGTTTGAGGCCAGCCTGGTCTACAGAGCAAGTTCCAGGACAGCTGGGGCAACACAGAGAAACCCTGTCTTGAAAAGCAACAATAACAACAACAAAAAAGCTATAAAGAAATATAAATCTTGGGACTAGTGAGATGGCTCAGTGGGCGGATGTGCCTAACACCAGCCTGAGTATCCAAGTTCAATCCAAATGACCCACGCTGGTGACAGGAGAGGTACCAACCCAAAGCTGTCTTTGACTTCGACCCATGCATGGTGCCCCACCACAGACACTAAACAAATATCATGGTTTGTTTTTGTTTTGTTTTGTTTTGTTTTAATTCAAGTACTGTTGTTGGGAATGCAAAGGTGCAGTTGCAGGGTAAACAGGGGTGCAGGAGTGCCTCTGTAACTCCAGCGCTCCTGCAGCAAGGCTGAGGTGGACACAGCAGAATTCTCTGGAGCACACAGGCCAGCTGGTCTGACACACGGAGCAGCAGGCAGCAGCAAAGAGACTGTCACAGATAAGATGAAAGGTCGGGACCTGTGTCCTGTACATATGAACTGCAGTGTGTCCATTCACACATGAACACGCACACACAGGCATTTATTTAGTGTGCATGTAGGTCAGAAGGTAACTTAGGAGAGTCCATGCTCTTCTTCCTCCATGTGGAACCCAGGGATCACACTCGGGTCATCACGCTTAGTGACAAGCACCTTTACCTTCTGAGTCATCTTGAAAGCCCACCAAAATAAAGAATTTTAAAAAGGTGTAGTTTTTCTGGAGAGCAGCGTGGTGGTTGCTCCAAAAGGTAAAAATAGAACAGTGCCTGCTCCAGAAATCCCACTTGAAAGCATTCAGAAGAACTGAGTTCAGGCTCTCAAACGGCATTATTCACAGTCGCTAAAGGTGGAAACAGCCTACCTACCTACGGACCGGCAAATGAATAAAGGAAGTGTGGGGCGGTGGTCGGTGGGTGGGAGTGTGGGACGGTGGTCGGTGGGTCCAGTGCTTGCCAGGTAAGCCTGACAATGTGGGTTCAGATAAAACTGGATACGGTGGGGTGTGTCTGTCATGCCAGCATCCCTGCAAGAAGACGGAGAGGAATCGACAGGAGAGTTGTTGGACACACAGAGGCTAGCCTGGTGTAAGTGACAGTGAACAAGAGAGACCCTGGCTCAAGAAGGTGGGAGGCAAGGATTGGCACCCATGGCTGCCCTCTGACTACCACTACCACAGATGTGCTGAGCACACATGTGACACACACACACACACACACACACACACACACACACACACACACACACACAGTGAGAGAGGAGAGAGAGAGAGAGAGAGAGAGAGAGAGAGAGAGAAAGGAACTGTGATATTTACATACAGGTGGACTATTATTATTATTCAGCTATAAAAAGAATTTTATCACATGCTACCATAGGCAAGCCTTGAAAACATTGTATCTAATGAAGTAAGTCAGACACAGAACAACAAACTGCAGGTTCTGGTTACGTGAGGCATCTAAAATAGTCACACTCAAACAGAAACTAGAATGGTGGTTTCCAGGGGCTCGAGGAGCTGCTGTCAGTGGGTATAAAGTTTCAATCACAAATCTCTCTCTCTCTCTCTCTCTCTCTCTCTCTCTCTCACACACACACACACACACACACACACACACACACACACACACACACACACACGCAGAGGCATGCATACACACCTTTAGTTTTTTTGGTTTTTCGAGACAAGATTTCTGGAACTTACTCTATAGATTAGACTGTCCTTGAACTCAAAGATGCACCTGCCTCTGCCTCCCAAATGCTGGGATTAAAGGTGTGTGCCACCACTGCCTGGAATATTTTAATTTTTAAAAATGTTTCTGCTTAGTGTGTGCATGCGTGTGTGTGTGTGTGTGTGTGTGTGTGTGTGTGTGTGTGTGTGTGTGTGTGTGTGTTTGGGGGGCATGCACAGGAGAACGTCCGAAGACAACTTTCAGGGTTGGACAGCTTTACAGTCATCCTTCCTTCCAATGAGGGTTTCATAAACTAAACCCAGGTTATCAGACTTTCACATAAAGTGTTTTTATCCACTTAACCATCTAACTCATCCTATAGTAACCTTATTTCATTTTCTTCCTCATATTTTTTTCTTTATTTTATTTTATTTATTTTGTGACATCTCACTATGTAGCCCTGGTTGGCCTGAAACTCTCTATGAAGACCAGGCTAGCCTCGAACCCATAAAAATCTGCCCATCCCTCCTAGGGCTAAGATTAAAAGCCACTGTGACAGAGTGAGGATGTCCCCATAGCTGCTGCCATCTGAGCGCTTGCTCCCAGTTAGTGATGCTGTCTGGGGAGCCTGTGGAGGAATTCTGCAGGAGGAAGTGCATCACTGGGGGCGGGTTTTGAGGGCTTAAGGTCCCACTCCACCTCCAGTGCGCGCTCCACTTCATACTTTCAGTTAGAAATGTGATCACTCGGCTTCCTGCACCTGCCTCCACACCTGCTGTCGATGTTTGCTCCCCGCCACATTGAACTCTGATCCCCCAGAACCATAACCCAAGGTAAACTCTTCCTTCCGTTAGTTGCTTTTGATCATGGTGCTTTACTACAGCAACAGAATGTAGCTAACACAGTCACCATGCTAGGTTCTTTTTAAACAAACAAACAAACAAACAAACAAACAAACAAACAAAAAATCTGAGCCTGGCATGGTGGTGCACACCCTTAATCCCAGCACTTGGGAGGCAGAGGCAGGTGGGTCTCTGTAAGTATGAGGCCAACCTAGTCTACAGAGTGAGTTCCAGGACAACCAGGGCTACACAGAGAAACCCTGTCTCAGAAAAAAAAAATCTGGTATGGTGGTATTTTATTTGTACTGAAATGTGATTTTAATTGTATGTTAATAAATAAAGTTGCCCGGGGGTCAGAGCTATTAGAGCCATAGCAAAAGTTGGGCAGTGGTGGTGCACGCCTTTAATCCCAGAACTTGGTAGGCAGAGCTAGGTAGATCTCTGTGTGTTCAAGGATACAGCCAACAGACAGTGATGAGGCAGTCATGTGGTTGGTTTTACAACCAATGAGAAGGCAGAACAGAAAGTCTATATAAAGACAGACAGAAAGTAGCTCTCTTTCGGAGAGGTCTCTTGGCTGAAGAGGCTAGCTGCAGCAGGCGGGTAAGGCTCTTAGCTCTGATCTCTTGGCTTTCTTCTTTGCATTGGTTCTGTGTTTCTTATTTAATAAGACAGCTGGTTACATCTACAATCTGGTGTGTATGATGTATGTGTGTACATGTATGTAAACATACTCATGCTATACTATGGCGTGGGTGCAGAAGTCAGAGGATAGCTTGGGTGTATGATGTATGTGTGTGCATGTATGTAAGCATGCTCATGCTGTGCTATGGCGTGGGTGCAGAAGTCAGAGGATAGCTTGGGGGTATGATGTATGTGTGTGCATGTATGTAAGCATGCTCATGCTGTGCTATGGCGTGGGTGCAGAAGTCAGAGGATAACTTGGGGGTATGATGTATGTGTGTGCATGTATGTAAGCATGCTCATGCTGTGCTATGGCGTGGGTGCAGAAGTCAGAGGATAGCTTGGGTGTTAGTCTCTGCTTTCCGCCTTGCATCTCTTGTTCCTCTCAGCATATGCCAGGATTCTCTTGTCTGTGGCTCCCATCGCGCTGTATGAGCTCTGGGATTACAAACCATGCTTGCCTCCTGCTTTCCGTAAGTTCTAGAATCTGAACTCAGGCCCTCCTATTTGCGTGGTGAGCACTTTCCCCACAGATCTCTTCCCCAGTTCCTTCCTCTTCTTCCTTCTCCTTAAAAAAGTATCTATGTCATATGTGTAAGAGTGCATGCACACATGTATGTGCACCTCAAGCGTGCCTCATGCTTGAAGAGACCAGAAGGGGGTGCCAGATCCCCTGGAACTGGGGTTACAGGCAACTATGAACTATCATGTAGGTGCTGGGAAACAAACTCAGCAAGAGCAACAAGTGCACTTAACTACTGAAAAATCTCTCCAGGCCCATCTCCTTCTCCTTTTTTTTGAGGCTTTACTCTGTGGGCTGGCCTCAAAACCATGGTGATCCCCTTGGTGATCTACTTCCTGAGTTCTGGGATTACAGATGAAAATCGCCATGCCCAGGCTGCCATAGTAATCTTGAAAAGGAACGAAGTTGACAGACTTATGCTTCTCATCTTTAAAACTTAACGACCTAGCCACAGAAATCAATACCTGGTGGCATTGGCTTGAGAATGGATCCACGAGCTAGGCATAGTCATACACACCTTTAATCCCAGCCCTCAGGAAGCAGAGGGCAGGTATAGGGTTGTGAGTTCAAGGCTTGGTCAACATAGGGAGTTCCAGGCCAGCCAGGGCTACATAGTAAGAACTTGTCTCAAAACCAGAACAAACAGAAAGAGCAGCTCTGTAGATCAATGGAGCGGGGTAGAGTTCAGGGAGAAACCCACGTGCTAACGTCGATTGATTTTGGACAAGGACACCAAGTAATTCAATGGAAGAATGAACAGCCTTTGAATAGATAGATGGTGCTAGAATATTCACGGACAACACACACACACACACACATTAAACCATAACTATGGAGTTGTGACTTTATGCCATATAAAAAAACCAACTAAACAGATGAAACTCCAAATGTAAAAGCTAAAGCAGTAAAACTCTTCCAAGAAAACTTAGGGTAAGTCTTTACAGCCTTGAGTGTGGCTACGTCTTCTCCCATGTGTCAGCAAGGACACAACAGAAGGAAAAAATAGACAAGCTGGACTTCATCAGAACCCTGAAGACTTATTTTTATTTTCTCCAAGATCTACTTTCTTTTCACCTTTCCCCTGACATGGTGGAGTTGGGGAGGCAGAAACTTGGGAGCACTGGTTTAGCTTCTCCCAAACACACCGAGGAAGGCATTGCCGGCGAGAGGTGTAATGGACATCGATACTGCTCCACAAGAGTTGAAGAAGGCCCTCAACCATGGTGGAATTCACGAAGCTGCCAAAAAGACAAGTGTCAAGCCCAGCCTTGTGTACACCAAACCGTGGTGAGCCTATGCACGTCAAATTAGTGGAGGCTCTTTGTGGTGAGCACGGTCATCCTAACTAAGGCTGAAAACAAGCAGAACCCAGGTGTTGTAGAACACTGTTCTAAGATGTGTTCCTTTTGTTTATGCTGCATTTGTTTAACTCTGTGAAGCTGTGTTACTGTGCCTGTCTAAAGCACCTGTTGGACTAATAAAGAATTGGCCAATCGTAAGGCAGGAGAAGGATAGGCGGGGCTGGCAGGCAGAGAGAATACATAGAGGGAGAAATCTGGGAGGAGAGAGATCAAGGAGCCAGAGAAGAAGGAGGATTCCGGGGGCCAGTCACCCAGCTTCACAGCAAGCCACGGAGTAAGAAACAAAGAGAGGTGTACAGGAATAGAAAAGGAAAAGCCCAGAGGCAAAAGATAGTTGGGATAATTTAAGTTAAGGAAAGCTGGCTAGATACTAAGCCAAGTTAAGGCTGGGCATTAATAATTAAGACTAAGTCTCCATGTGTAATTTGTTTGGGAGCTGGGTGGCACCCCCCCCAAGACTAAAAACCCCCAACAACACCCAGGAGAATGGGCAGGCCTCTGCAGAACTGACAGAAAGGGAAACCCCTGCACAGTGGCTGGTTGCAGTTTGTGTAGTGGTTAAGGGCTGTGGAAAAGAATCTCAGGCCCAGGATGTCTTTGAAGAGTACTTCAAATACAAGAGAGGGAGAAATGTTAAAAATATTATGCTCAAAGCTGGAGCATAACTCAGCTTAGGGTGATGGAGTTTTCCAGTGTAGGCATAAGTAAAAAACCCATCACAGTAGCACATACCTGAGGTTCTAAAACTTGGGACGCTAAGGCAGGGGGATCATGAACTTGAAGCTTGTCTAGGCTGTATAGAGACCTGGCGGAAGACAGAAATGGAAAAACAAACAAGGCCATGCTGATTAGATTTGCCTCTTAGGACGTGGTTCTGGCAATGTTACAATGGGCTGTATCAGAGGAAAGGAAGGTGGCCAACCGATTGGTCAGGGGCCTAGTGCAATGGA